CTAGGGCTGCTTGGGGTACTCGGGGCTGGGCTGCTTGGGGCTCTCGGGGGATAGGTCCTTGGGGCTACTCGGGGCTAGGGCTCCTGGGCTACTCGGGGCTAGGGCTGGCTTTGGGGCTCTCGGGCTGCTGGCTTGGGAGAACTGCTTGGCGGCTATTCGAGGCTGCTGGTTGGATTGTGACGAGAAGTAGGGCTGCTTGGGGCTACTCGGGGCTAGGGCTGCTTGGGGCTACTCGGGGCTAGGGCTGCTTGGGCTACTCGGGCTAGGGCTGCTTGGGGCTCTCGGGGCTAGGCTGTTTTGGGCGGGCGCTCTCGGGGCTAGGGCTGCTTGGGGCTGCTTGCGGGGCTAGGGCTTGCTTGGGGCTCTTCGGGGCTTTTGGGCTTGGGCTACTCGGGGCTAGGCTGCGGGCTACTGGGGCTAGGGCTAGGGGGCTCTCGGGGCTAGGGGCTGCTTGGGGCTCTCGGAGCTAGGGCTAGGGCTACTCGGGGATACTGCTTGGGGCTCTCGGCGGCTAGGGGCTGCTTTGGGGCTATTTAGGGGCTAGGGCTGCTTGGGGCTCTTCGGGGCTAGGGCTGCTTGGGGCTCTCGGGAGGGGCTGCTTGGGGGGGCTAGGGCTGCTTGGGGCTCTCGGGGGCTAGGGCTGCTGGGCTCTCGGGGGCTAGGGCTGGCGGGTAGGGCTGCCTCTCGGGGGGCTGCTTGGGGCTCTCGGGGCTAGGGCTGCTTGGGGGGCTTAGGGCTGCTTGGGGCTCTCGGGGCTAGGGCTGCTTGGGACTCTCGGGCTAGGCTGCTTGGGGCTACTCGGGCTAGGGCTGCTTGGGGCTACTCGGGCTGGGCTGCTTGGGGCTCTCGGGCTAGGGACTCGGGCTAGGGCCTTGGGGCTACTCGGGGCTAGGGCTGCTTGGGGCTCTCGGGGCTGCTGGTTGGAGAGAAGAGGACTGCTTGGGCTACGGGGCTTGCTGTTGGCGAGAAGAGGCTGCTTGGGGCTACTCGGGCTAGGCTGCTTGGGGCTACTCGGGGCTAGGGCTGCTTGGGGCTCTCGGGGCTAGGCTGCTTGGGGCTCTCGGGGCTAGGGCTGCTTGGGCTAGGCTGCTGGGGCTCTCGGGGCTAGGGGCTGCTTGGGGCTCTCGGGGCTAGGGCTGCTGGGGCTACTCGGGCTAGGGCTGCTTGGGCTACTCGGGCTAGGGCTGCTTGGGGCTCTCTAGGGCTCTCCCTAGGGCTCCTTGGGCTACTCGGGGATAGGGCTGCTTGGGGCTCTCGGGGCTAGGGCTGCTTGGGGCTACTCGGGGCTAGGGCTGCTGGGGCTCTCGGGGCTGCTTGGGGGGGCTAGCTGCTTGGGGCTAGGGCTGCTTGGGGCTCTCGGGGCTAGGGCTGCTTGGGGCTCTCGGGGCTAGGGCTGCTTGGGGCTCTCGGGGCTAGGGCTGCTGGGGCTCTCGGGGCTAGGGCTGCTTGGGAGCTACTTCGGGGCTAGGGCTGCTTGGGGCTACTCGGGGCTAGGGCTGCTTGGGGGCTCTCGGGGCTAGGGCTGCTTGGGACTCCGGGCTAGGGCTGCTTGGGGCTACTCGGGCTAGGGGCTGCTTGGGGCTACTCGGGCTAGGGCTGGGGCTGCCTTAGGGGCTACTCGGGGCTAGGGCTGCTTGGGGCTACTCGGGGCTAGGGCTGCTTGGGGCTACTCGGGGCTAGGGCTGCTTGGGGCTCTCGGGGCTTAGGGCTGCTTGGGGCTACTCGGGGCTAGGGCTGCTTGGGGCTACTGGGGCTAGGGCTGTTGGGGGCTCTCGGGGCTAGGGCTGCTTGGGCTCTCGGGCTAGGGCTTGGGGGGCTAGGGCTGCTTGGGGCTCTCGGGGCTAGGGCTCTTGGGCTACTCGGGGCTAGGGCTCCTTGGGGCTACTCGGGCTAGGGCTGCTTGGGGCTACTCGGGGCTAGGACTGCTTGGGCTACTCGGGGCTAGGGCTGCTTGGGGCTACTCGGGCTAGGCTGCTTGGGCTCTCGGGGCTAGGGCTGCTTGGGGCTCTCGGGGCTAGGGGCTGCTTGGGGCTCTCGGGGCTTAGGGCTGCTTGGGGGGGGGCTGCTTGGGGCTTCGGGGCTAGGGCTTGCTTGGGGCTACTCGGGGCTAGGGCTCCTTGGGGCTACTCGGGGCTAGGGCTGCTTGGGGCTACTCGGGGCTAGGGCTGCTTGGGGCTACTCGGGGCTAGGGCTCCTTGGGGGGGCTGCTTGGGCTCTCGGGCTAGGGCTGCTTGGGGCTCTCGGGCTAGGGCTGCTTGGGGCTCTCGGGGCTAGGGCTGCTGCTCTCGGGGCTAGGGGCTAGCTGCTTGGGGCCTCGGGGCTAGGGCTGCTTGGGCTGGGGCTGCTGTTGGAAGAAGAGGCTGCTAGGGGCTACTCGGGGGGCTGCTGGTTGGATTGTTGGAGAGAAGAGGGCTGCTTGGGGCTACTCGGGGCTGCTGGTTGGATTGAGAGAAGAGGGCTGCTTGAGGACTACTCGGGCTGCTGGTTTGAGATACTGTTGGGCTACTCGGGGCTGCTGGTTGGAGAGAAGAGGGCTGGTAGGGGCTACTCGGGGGCTGCTGATAGGACTGCCGAAGGGAAGAGGGCTGCTTGAGGCTACTGCTTCTACTGTCAAAAGAAAAAACACTTCTCAGGACTATCACTTCTGTTTTTGAACGAAATCGGGGCAGTTCCGGACTACTGCTTCTACCATCGACAGGAAGAAGGCTACTCGAGACCACTGCTTCTTGCTGGCGTGAAGAGGGCTCCTTTGGGCTACTGCTTCTGATGCTGGAGGGGGAGGGGGGGGGGCGCTAGATGCCACTGCTTCTGCTGTTAGTGGAAAAGGGTTCATTAGGATACTGATTGTGCTGTGTTAAACAAGATGAGTTTTCCCGATTTCCCACCAGATTATTATTGATCTTTTATCTTCTAAACAGATTATAAAACCCCTTGCGAAAGAGAGAGAGAGAGAGAGAGAGAGAGAGA